CTCTGACCGGATCATTTGAATCAGTGAGTTGTTAACTAAAGACTCGCTCTGACCGGATCATTTGAATCAGTGAGTTGTTAACTAAAGACTCGCTCTGACCGGATCATTTGAATCAGTGAGTTGTTAACTAAAGACTCGCTCTGACCGGATCATTTGAATCAGTGAGTTGTTAACTAAAGACTCGCTCTGACCGGATCATTTGAATCAGTGAGTTGTTAACTAAAGACTCATTCTGACCGGATCATTTAAATCAGTGAGTTATTATGTTGATTATCGTTTGACCGATATTGATTTGTTTGATGGCCGATGCTGATATCTTACAGAGCAGGGCAGCCAATAGCTGAAAGAATGACTTTATTTTTTATATTTAAGCATACTAATATCACATGCATAACAATTGCTGAAATTAAAATTATAATTACTGTCTTGATTAAAATTAAAATCTTGAAATGAATAAATATGAAAAACATTGAACTGAAATAAACAGATTTATTTAGATGGCAACTTCTTGATTCTGTAGTTTTATATGACAGTATATAACTGTGCAAGTCAGAATGTATGTACTCCTGTCATAACAACACACTAAAACACAAATAATTATATTATGATAGTGTTCTCATTATAATGTTGTATGTGACAGATTGCCACTGCATGTCTTTCATTCTCAAAGTGATTCCAGGCATCACTGTGCGTTTCACTTTCACTTTAGTTCTCTGGTCTGGACGGCATGTTGTCCTTATGCTTATCAATCACACCTCAAGATGCTGCTCACAAAAGCTTAAACCAATAACCAAAAATCAGAAAAAACACAACCAATCAGAGCTCAGATCAGAAGTGTTATTCGTTATCAAAAAGGGTGTGATTAATCCAAATTAAAAATTTGAATCTATTGACAGCCCTAATAAATACTAAACATTGCACAACACTACATATTATCAAACACTGAACTAGGCCTATTTACTTGAAGAGGGAAAGCCTGAACACTCCTAAACTGTTAGTCAAGACTGCATTTCACGAATATAATTCACAAAACCTGACACCAATCCAATCCCACGTTTTGGTTGTTTAACTGAAATCCAGGGCCTTCCATTCATTCTCTTCCTCCTTATACTGTCTCTTCACTGAACGCAAAAGCAAGACAAAACCGTAAATGAGTTGATTCTTCATCCGTGTTTAAAGACCCCATTAAATCTCTTAATGTGTTCAGTGTTTGTCCTGTGTGCTGAGTCACTGGGGCCAGACAAATTAAAAGACTTGCCCTCTTTTTTTACATAACCAATAGGTTTTAATCGCAGACATGAAGCATTACTTCCTGGTCAGTTTCAGGGAGAAATACATGCTTTGATGGGAGAAAGAGTGTTTGATTAAGCATTTGATTGGACAAAAATGTGTGCAGCCACTATTTTGCTCTGTAATCCCTGAACAGTTTCATTCTTCTTTTGGCACATAAACATTATATCGAACATTTATCGAACTCTTCATATAGTTTATCGAGGAAAATTATATCGCGATAATTATCGTTATCGATTTATCGCCCAGCCCTAGCCCCCTCCCACGACTGTTGATGGACAATGGCGCATTAGCATTATTCAAGTAAGAAATGTCTTCTTATTACAGCTATAGAAGTTGTTCAGTCCAGAGCAGTGAGTGATTTTCTCTTTTTATTTTATTTTTGGGTCATATTAACAGCCTAGACAGCAGTAGCTACTGTATATTACGCTGCTGTCACTTAATACACAGTTCTAATATAAACATGCGATTTCTTTCCCAGCTGTTTACCGTCACAGACATAACAGACTGTGTTTTTGTAACTCAAGTGTTTTTAACAGAAACTGGTGTGTATTTGACAGTTTAAGCGCAATAAGACATGAAAGAGAACTCACATGCCGTGTGACAGATGCTTTCTGTGTGTTCGCTTCAGATGTGTGTGCTCAGGAAACCGTATGTTAGAAGTTTAAACTGATATGGCTTCAAAACACGTTTTCAACGTGACAATCAAAACCAAGCAGATGTTTTTTAGCAGAGTATCTGAGGTACGAGCTGTAAAGGCACAGCCCTATTCTGGAAAAGAGGATGGGGAGCAGCAGCTCATTTGCATTTAAAGAGACATGCACTAAAACAGCATGTTTCTGCTTCCACTCAAAATAGGCATTTTCAAAATTATGTAATAAATTATCTGTGGTAGGACTGCACGATAAATCGAAATGGAATCGAGATCGAGATTCGACAGAAGCTGCGATTGTCATGCGTATCTTTCAGTGAAGCACGGTTCTGTGATCAGCAGTAAATCTCCATCCAAAGGCCAGAGGGCGCTCTCGCGCTGAAACTCCAAATACGCCTCACAGAAGAAACCCAGGAAATGCCTATCGCTGCAGCTGAATAAACAGAAGATTCAACTGTTTCATTGATTCAACGTGACTAATAAACACACGACTACGGCAATATACGGTTTATCTGAGTTCTTATTATCATAATTTTCATTAAAATAAAGTATATTTATAATGCAATGCCTTTATCACTGCTTAAATACTATGAAATATGTTGCGTGCCTTATTCTGTGTAAGAAGCCACATCATCTCACAGAAGGATTTATTTCAAACACTCGACTGACGTTATGAAGTGAGTTTGGAGTAAAAATGTTATTAAATGTGGTATTTTAACGTGCTTTCAGATGGAGCAGCATTTACTTCACAGAGCAATAGTTCACTGAGAAGCTATGCAAACAGCTGTCATTATCGCGAACGATTTCTTCGATTTCAGAATCGCGCAATACATTTTTTTGCGTAACTTGTCAGTGAACTA